TGCTCACGGTTGCGTTGTCGTCTTTCCAGGCTGGCCCTCATCACGAGGCGGGAATGCTCCATGGCGTGTGTGTGTGTGTATTCCCTCGGTTGATTTTGTGACACGGACAGTCAGACTCCGCACACCGATAACACAAACGAGGAACCAGAGGCATATGAAACCGCTCAGCTGGCACTTGCTCGTGACACCTTGTGTGTAGTGTGTTTTGGTGTATGTAGTGCAAGTGTGCTGCTGGTGGTGACTTGGCACGTCACTTGTTGTCGTCTGCTTCTTCCGTTGGTGACTTGGACACGTCACTTGTTGTCGTCTGCTTCTTCCGTTGGTGACTTGGACACGTCACTTGTTGTCATCTGCTTCTTCCGTTGGTGACTAGGACACGTCACTTGTTGTCGTCTGCTTCTCCGTTGGTGACTTTCCTGTGACTACGAACTTGCAGTGGCTGGCGTGGACCCACGTGGCTCTCTCGGCGACCTTGACCGCTGTCTGGGTGACGAGAAGCACCTGGTAGGGACCTTGCCAACAATTGGATTTCCAGCTCTTTCTCCGGAAATCCTTGACCAGCACGAAGTCGCCGGGTTGGAGATGGTGAAGTGGACCAGTGGCAGGGGTAGGTAAGGCTGCGGCTACCTGACGTCGGATGTCTGCTAAAGTGGATGACAGGTTAACACAATATGACAACATAGCATCCTCACACAAAGTTGTGGAGGGAAGAGGACATCCTGGAGCCTTGAGTCCAATCTGTGGAGGAGCCGCAAAAAGGATTTCAAATAGGCTGAGTTGGCTCCGTGTTCGTTTCCGCATCCGCATGTACATCAGCACAATGGGCAGAGCTTGTGTCCATGACAGACCTGTGTCTGCACAGCATTTTGCTAGCTTGTTTTTTATTGTGCAGTTCTCTCTTTCTACCCCACCCCCACTCTGTGGATGGTACGCACAATGCTTTCTGATGTCCATGCCCATGTATTCTCCTATCTGCGTAATGGCCTCATTAGCAAAATGTGAACCGTTGTCGCTAGACATTTTGTCTGGTAGTCCCCATCTAGGAATGATTTCCCTCAGTAGTGCCTTTGCCACAGCATTTGCTGTCTGTGCTTTTACTGGGAAAGCTTCAACCCATTTGGACCACATGTCAACCACCACCAGACAGTGCTTCTTACCCTCTGATGGGCTAAGCTCAATGAAATCCAGCATTAGGTGCTCAAATGGCCTGGTGGGAGGTGGATGTGCTCCGGGTCCTGTAACCTTTACTGGTCTACCAGAATTTTGCATAATGCAAATTAGGCATGCTTCACAGTGCTTTTGAGCTGTTACTGTGAACCCCCTTGTGAACCACTCCTGATTTATAGCCTCTAACATCCCTCCTTTTGACACATGATCCAACCCATGTGTCAACTTAGCAAAATGAGGGAAGAAATGTCTTGGGAGACATGGATTGGAATTTGGACCAACCCAGATGCTGGAGCATGCCCGGCGCCGTGGGAGGGCCAGGGAGGGCCAGGCCCTCCCATTTGACATTCCTGCCCTCCCCCAATAAACACGTTTTTTATTATTTATAAAAAATATATATATATATTTTATTTTTTAAATTATAAATAAACTGTGAACTTTTATGCTACGATGTATGGGATGTCAGAACTATAAAAAAAAATCGCAGGCTACGTCAAATAAATGCATGTGTCTGATTTGTGATTCGTCCCCATTTAAACCAATCACAGCGTCACACTCTGCCGCCTATTCTGGATTTGTTTATTGTGCATTCTGTAGACTCCCATTTCTGTTTGAATTACAAAATGCACATCAGAAATCAGCTTACAAGGTCTAAGGATTTATTCAAACGAAATAGCGATGAAAGAACTGCAGCCGATGGTGCTGCTGGCGACCCTGCACCTGCCGTTGCAGCAGCACGCCTTAATGTCACAAGCTTGACCTCGGCAAACCCCGGGGCTGAGTTAGCGAGCCCAATCCTTGACTCATCAAGGAAGCCGCCACCAACGCTGTCCTCCGAGGCACCGCTCCTTGTGCCCCTACCATCACCACCTGCGTTACCACACCCTGTACCACACCCGCCAGCATCCTCCTCCTCCTGCTCCGTGCCGGTGCCTCCGCTACAGATGCTACCTTGCAGCACATCAACAGGTTCTATTGGGCCAGCAACCGCTCAAAGATCAACAGCCCCAGATGATCTTGGGGTTAATAAACCCAAGCAGGTGAAGCTGGATCGTTATCCAGGGAGATTGTTTTCAGGAAAGAAGCGCACTTTTGCCGCTGCATGGTACAACAACAGACCATGGCTTGAAGATTCGTTAAAAGCAGACGCAGCCTTTTGTTTCCCCTGTAGACAGTTTAAAGTAAATACGTCTTCATCTGATGCAGCTTTTACTGTCAAAGGTTTTTGCGACTGGAAACACGCATTACAGACTGATAAAGGACTGCTAAGGCATGCCGCATCAAAAGAACACATTTCATGTGAGAGTTTGTGGAGAGAGAGACAGACAGATACGCGAGGAAACAAATAAGGAAATTAATACTTTGGTGCAGATCAGCTGGCACGGAGCCGTTATTATGTGTCAGCTGTCGTTGATATTATAGCTTTTTTAGCTGTCAACCAACTCCCTCTCAGAGGTGACCTCGATTCACTCCACAGCATGTCCGAGTGCAGTGCATAGGAACATAAACCATGCCCAAGGCGGGCTAAACAGTTCATCGTCTCCGTCTCTACTATTTCTCTCCGAGTGCAGCGATGAGGAAGCTGCCATCCTTAACCAGTGTGCCTTGCTCGTGATTTACCAGTGCCTGTGCTGCCACGCACACAATGTTTCAAAGTGGTTGCTATGTTGCCCTTTATTTGTGTATGTTTGCGATAAGTGTGCGTCTTTACGCAATGCTGTTGGCCTTGCTGTTTGATATTGTGCCGCAGGCCCGCAGCACGTGACGGTTTTGTGTGCCCTCCCATGAAAATCATATGCCCTCCCTTTTAGATTTGTTCTGGCACCGGGTCTGTGCTGGAGGTTGGGTCAAAAACAGCCTTCCACTGAGCCTTCTTAACTGGTGTAGCTAGCTGCTGCTTGGAAGTCAGTGATGACATTTTGTCAGTGAAGGAGGAGACAGGGATTTTAACAAATGAGTGTGCGTGAGGTGCGAGAGGAATCAGAGCAGCTGCCTTTGCGGCTGAGTCAGCAGCCGCATTTTCTAGGGAAACTGGGTCTGTGCGGCACATTTACAGACTGCAACTTCAGATGGTAGCAGAATGGCGTCTAGTAAGCCTGCAACCAGTACATGGTTAAGTACTGGTTTGCCATCAGATTTCAGAAATTGTCTACACTTCCAAATAGCCCCAAAATCGTGTACTACCCCGAAAGCATAACGTGAGTCAGTGTAGATAGTCACAGTTTTGCCTTCTGCAAACGTGCAGGCTTCAGTTAGTGCGATGAGCTCTGCTGCTTGTGCTGAGAGGTGACATGGGAGTGGGCCGGAACGGAGTACAGCAGAATCTGAAAAAACAGAAAAACCCACCCGATTAGTGCCCCCTTGGTCGCGAGAGGCAGACCCATCAACATACAAAATGAGGTCAGCGTTCGTCAGAGGAACGTCTTTTAAGTCTGGTCTAGGTGTGCACACAATGAGAAGTTCGGCAACACAGTCGTGTTCGTCACCGTCTTCAGACAAAGGCATAAGCAGGGTTCTTACACCTTTTCCAAAGTCAAATTCAAGCACTTTTCAAGCATTTTCAAGCTTTTCAAGCATCTCTGTCGACCCCACGCTTAAACATGCATAGAAATGCTCTGAGGTTAAAAGGTTACTGCTGGGTGAGACTTTACAAACAGAGGCCTGGAGGAAGAAGTCCTGTGGCATCATCACCGAGTAGGGATGGGTATCGTTAAGGTTTTAACGGTACTACTACTTTTATCGATACCGCTTATCCTTTAACGGTACTCTTATCGGTTCTTGTGAAGAAAAAGGTAAATTAACTAAACAAATTGTAAATAATGTGAACTTACAGAACTGTAAAAAACAAACAAAAAACAAGTATTTACTGCAAAAATACAGTGGTACAGGTGGGGCATACAGGTATGCTGCAAAAGGCCTAACGGTTCTTCGGGAGGAAGATTAAGGTATACATAACATACCTGAGGTGGAAACGTTACTCGTGGATGGGGCTACAGAGCTACTAGAAAGACAGTCGAACCCGGTGCATTCCTCCGTCTGGATGTGGAGCACTTTTGCTAAATGTTTAGACAAATTGCTCGTGTTACCGCCCTCACATGCTAAACTCTTATTGCACTTTTGGTAACTTTGTCCACATCGAGACGGGTAAAGTTTAACCACACCTTGGAGCGCTTAGTTCTCTCCGCCGTGTGTGTGTGTTGCATGCATGTAGCAGCCGCGTGTGTGTAAACCGCCCCGCCCCCTCACACACAGACGAGGGACTGGATTGGAAGGATCGAAAATACGTCAATAGATGCATTTTGTAGTCTTATTGCATATCAGAAACGGAGTTGGCGAAACTAAAACTGCAATGTAATGGTTATGTAGCAATAATACATATGACATATATTTTTGTAATGTCTCCAGTACCGATAAAAAGACCAATGAGCTTAACGGTACCACGGCCTTTAATAATTCTGCCCCGAGGCCCCTTTAATACCCATCCCTATCACCAAGTCAGAGTTTCTCTCTGTGTTTCACGACTCTGAAGGCCTTGAGAGGTTCACCAAACACACTGCTTTTTGTTTTTAGTTGAAAAACATCTTCATTCAACATTGAAAGGACTGTGTTGTACTTTACATGCTATCCCCTTTATAGCAGTTTGTTTTATTTTGAAGGAGCATTGAATGTGGGACCAGCCGTCTCCTGCTCAGCTACAGGAGGGGATCAGATGTTAGAGAAATACATTCTGTGTATTCTGAACAACATTCAAAATAACTCCCACATACTAAAGTCCATGTTCACCTAAATGTCCATTGTCCACTCATCATTTTGTTCTATTCTTCTCCTTCCAGAAAACCACTAAGAGAAAGAAAGCCGCAGCTGAAGAAGAGGAGGAGGAGAATGAGGCCGATGGACAACCCATCAAGAAAAAGAGAGTCGCAAAGAAAAAAGGTATCAGATATATCTGAGCTCATTCACATACAATGTATTTATTAAAGGAGTATTTAGGGAGAGATGGCACAAGGATAAAACAAAATGTCTAACTGTCCAGGGAAATGAATACAACAACAAATCAAAAGTATTGAACAGATTTAAATGTTGACTAGACAGTGGCGCTGGATAAAAAGGTCAGAGAATCGAGTCATCAAAGTGATGACACCCTGAGGAAGGACTGTTAAAACTGGGATGGCAATCCATCTGAAGAATAGATTCAATATCTTAGTCAGGACCAAAGTAGGCCAAAGGAAATGCAATGTATGGGACAACATTTCTGTTCAGTATATGCCATAGAGTGGCGAAGTCACACCCATCTACTAATCATTGGACCTTATTTCTGAAAAATTATGTATTGAAGTCAATGGGGAGAGAAAACGTATCTTTCGATCCCGTTTGAATTGTGCCACGAATGACACATATGATGTTTGTCAATCTTAAAAAAATAATTTCAATGTCAAAAAGTCACAGTTTGTCTTAAAACTGTTGAAATATAAGACTATGAAAAATACGCAACGAGAAAGACTACAAATCCCAGAGTCGCGTAAATGAATTTAGCTAGCTGACATTAACGTTACACATTACACTCGTGTTACTCACCGAAACCTTGTAAAGCCGGTCCCACATGCTGGAACCGACTAACTCCCCTTTTGTGTATGTACAGCAGGGTGGGATTTTCACGGCGGCCATGGCCGTCGTAGCCCCTCGGTCTGGCCGTTATGCCCCACAAATAATTGTGATTGTATTCTACGGCCACCATGGCCTTTGGGCCCCTCACACTGTTAAAAGTTGCTTTAAAAGCGTCAGAACAGTGGTTTCTGAACTGCATTATGCTGCGTTCACAACGGACGTGATGCGAATACTCGCATTGCTCTAACCGCTGGAGTTTCACCGCGGCTGTCAGCTGTGTTTACTACTGTCATTCAAACAGGACGCGCTGGAGCGGGGGCGGGGCTTATATCCATGTAAATACTGTGGTGGAAACCAACTACGACAAAATTAACCTATTTTACCGTGATTTAATTGTAATACACGTTTCAAAATGATGCCGAAGTAACTAAATACTGATAACGGTTAGTAAAAACCATGCTTTAATGCTTTGACAAGTGTGCAGACAAGACGGCATGCGAAAAACCTTTTTAAATGCGTGTTTTGTGAATGGAGATTGGATCGATCAGGCTAAACTAACGTTGTAGCTGCTCCGTCCAAACTCACAACAACGTCCTAAAGACAGAATTAAAGCAGCGACTGTATTCGTCATGACACAGACAGTCTGTGGTTTGTACATCTTTAACTTTTGTCCAGTTTCTGAACAGATATGAGGAGCTGTGAGGAGTTGATTAAAGACGCACACACACACACAGACTTTTGCATTTCAAAGTATTGCTTGTTCATACAGTTGGATGTTGGAGCTTCACTGTGCACTGCTGAATGATGTATGTGCAGAGTTTGACCCTTGAAGGCTGTTTCTTCTGCTCTGAAATGGAAAATATTTGTTACATATTAATAGAATTTTTGTTTTTTAGATTTCATTTTGGATTTGTGAATGGGAGAAGTAGATGGAAAACATACCAAACACTAATTATTCAAAGTAAAGTATTTCATTTTAGATACGTTAATACTAAGGAGGCATAGGCCTATATGATGATACGATTATTGATGTTAAAAAAGTGATTTGTTATTAGAAAGTGAAGTTATTTATTTGTAAGCTCCAAATCCAAATGTTTCCCTCAATGGCCTTTGTGCCCTGGCATGTGGCCTTTCCGCCCTGAAAAAATGTGACACCAAAGGCCAAATGGCCTTGCCCCTAAAATCCAAGCCTGATGTACAGTTCTCAACATGGCCAGATTTTCACCTCTTTTAATACTTTTCGCTTCATTCTGAAAGAAAGAGGTGAAATGTGCCAACGTGACGGCCATCTTGGTCTTGGTGACGTATGCGAGACCAGAGATGTAGTTCATTGAGCGCTTCACACAAAAAAATGTGTTACTTCACAGTTTACGGCACATTTTTTATTTTTTTGACTTGCAAAATTATCTTTTAAATTGACAAACATCATATGTGTAATTCGTTGCACAATTCAAACGGAATCAAAAGATAATCTTTCTCTCTCCATTGACTTCAATACATACTTTTTCCGAAATAAGGTCCCATTGAGGTCCCCCGGAAGGGGAGGGACTTCGCCTCTCTATTTCTCTGTGTAGTTTCCTGTTCTGGGGATGTTTTTGTTGCATAAACAAAACATGCTTTATATTCCATGCTCAATGGACTGAATGCTAAACATCTCTGAGATAGCATCATGCTAGCTATTACAACAAGAAATTACTTTACTTACAGAGCAAGCGTGGCAGCTCCTAACTAGGAAGCCGAGACAGAAGACAAGCACATAGATAATATCAAGCAGTGTACACATAATGAAACATACAATGTACATGAAGCTGGTGTGTTTGAAGGGGCTTTATGTAGCCTCAGTGTAACAGGATGGTCTCCCCTGCAGAAGTGAACGGGGTGAAGAAGAGTCCCGCAAAAACTAATGGACCAAAGAAGGTGTGCGGCACTGGCAAAGTGGGGGACGCCAAATCCAGACTGGTGGAGATGGGCACCCAGACGTCCCCCGGACTCGCCCTGAGGTCCAGAGGCAGACCCAAGAAAACCAGCGCCTGAGCCCCCCCCCACCTGTCTACACTCCTCCCTCCTGCCTCTCATCTGCTCCTACAAGAGTCACTTTTCTACTTGTTTCTGGTTTCTATTTGTTACGCACTATTACATGTTGATTTTATTTGGTGTCATTGAAGACAGGCCTATTGTAATAAAGAGTAATTAAAACGTCAATCTGTTTGTCTTGATTCAAGGTTTCAGGGTCAATGGCTAGATTGTGATGGAAAGAAACTCCCTGTCATTCACAAACACTTTGAGAGGGATTCAGTTATTTCATTCTTTATGAGACCAGCCAAGAAAGGTGCAAATTATGAATTCCAGACAGACTTTTCTAAAATCAAGGCCTGGATCCACTGTGAGGCCACAGATCACGGCACTAGCTGTCTTGATGAGGCCTTTGTCTTTATTAAGTGTGTATTGTTAATATGAGTAATCCTCTGTGTGTGTGCGCCTCACAGTGACCTCGTTATAAAAGTTATATCAAGTGAACTGTGGAGACAAACAGTCAACACTGGAGACTGGAGGACATTATGAGGACACGTCTTTCTACGCAGAGTCAAAGGACCAATTCTATTGTAAACAAGTGATAGACCAGGGTGATGAAATATTTGATATTGAATACATATTTATGTATAAAAGACATCAAAAAGTGCCTTTTGATAGGGGACCTTGAAATAGTAATCTTCACGCCCAATGTGGGGCTCAAACCCACAACCCTGAGATTAAGAGTCTCATGCTCTACCGGCTCTAGCTGACCATGCTGTTTTTTATTTTAAAAAGTGGCTTTCTGAAGTGTTTCTTAAGACGTTTGGGCCACCTCAAAGGTTGTATGAACCCCAGGGCTATGATTAAACTGTCAAAGAAATCAGGTTCTCTGTCATTTCGTAACCACTTTCGCTTACCTCGGTGAGAACAAAGTGGGTTAGTTGAAGATGTGAAGGATAATTCATTAGGACTTAGATGAAAACAACTGCACGTACACTGGGTAAAATATTTATGATGATCCAGCTGATGTTATTTATGTGCGCCCACTGTGGAAAACAACTCTTTCTGTAGATGAACTACTCAAGGTGCAGTAGTGTACTGTCACCTGTCCAGTGTCTGCTATGACAACATGTTGAGGAATGTTGCCAGGCATGTCCATATGAACTGGAAACTGAGAGCAGTCTCAGATTTAATGTAATGTATGTTTGTATGTAATTCAGATTATAATCAATCGCCTCCACTTTTACTCACCCTCTTTTCAGAATCAGAATTTCTTATTTAGTCCCACAGCGGGGAAATGTACTGTGTAACCACATAAGTGGCATAGCAGTTTAAAAAAGGCATTCACAAATAAAGAGTAAGCTAACTTAATAAATGTAGAGAACAAGCACACATTAGTAATGTAATACAAAACAAAGACAAATTAGTACACAACCATGGCTAAAAGTGAGTAGCAGCAATTAAAAAAAGTTGATAAATAATTATTAAGGTTTTGAGGCATTATAAAAATGTACTAAAATGTTTGGACATTATAAAAAAGTAATTATTGCACATTACAATTGCAAAAAAGTGTCTGTATAGCACAATAATAATAATAACAGCTTGGATTTCTATAGCGCCTTTCATGAGACCCAAGGTCGCTTTACAAAGAAGAACAGGGCAAAACAAACATAACAAAAACAAAAAGGCAGTCAGACAACCAGTCAGACAGACAAAACAACAAATAGATTAGGGGCCAAAGGCCTTAGTAAACAGATGGGACTTGAGGGCCCTTTTGAAGGCGTCAAGCGTGGGGATGTTGCGGATCTCCGCGGGGAGAGCGTTCCAGAGGGTGGGGGCTGCCATACTGAAGGCTCTGTCCCTGAAGGTTTGCAGTTTGGTGCGGGGGGTGGTAAGCAGGCCAGAGTCTGAAGACCGCAGGTTCTGGGGTGGGGCATGTGGGTGAAGGATGACTGATAATTAGTGGGGGGCATGGAGGGACTTGTAGGTAAGGAGGAGGATTTTGTATGATATGCGGGAAATCACCGGCAACCAGTGGAGGTGGATGAGGGTGGAAGTGATGTGCTGCCACGGCTTTGTATTTGTGAGTACCCTAGCAGCACAGTTTTGCATACTGGAGCCTGTCCAGGGTTTTGTTGGGAACCCCAAACAGGACACCATTGCAGTAGTCCAAGCGGGAGGTGACAAACTCCGAGAGTGACGGTCGGAGTCTGGCAAAGTTCCTTAGATCGAAAAAGGCCAGTTTGGTCACAGACTTGACGTGGGAGTGTAAGGGAAGGGTGGAGTCGAGGATGACACCCAGGTGTCCGAGCAGGCTTTCTGAAGACGTGTTCTCTCTCTGAGGGATGGATGCCCTGCTGTTGATGTTCCAGAGCCCCATCATCACACTTTGTGAACAGACGGAAAATGGGAAAAATCTGAACTCCTGTCCACCACCTGCTCAGATGTCTCTGTTTTCAGCGTCCAGCTCTGTTTCAAACGGTAGTGACGCCTGTGACATCATCACTCATATTCCTGTAAGGTGTGTGTGTTGGACAACATCTCTAACCCCCCCCCCATCCACATGGCATCAAGCAAATGGACAAATGGGAACCCCCCCCCCTCTCTCATTAACTCCCAACAGCCCACATCCTCTCCCTCCCCATGGAGGAAGACATCTCCACTAATGTCAGTGTTGTGAGGGCCCTTGGGGCCCCTGAGGCGGATGGTGGCGCGCCATCGATTGTTCCAGCCTCTACAGGAGTAAAGAGCCCCCCCGCCTGGCTTTCCTCTCCCCCTCCCAACCCCCCTCTCAGACACTGACCTTGGGGGCGCCACAACCATGGTCCCACAGTAGGTGGCAGTAGTACATAATGACAGCAAAACGTGCTGGGGGGGGGGGGGTTAAATGGACAGCACTTGAACACATAACTACTATCTGTCTGATTGTAGAGGGGGGCACAATTTCACCCGGCCGGCCTTTCATTTAGTGACCCCTGCGGCCTCTGTGTGTGTGTGTGTGTGTGTGTGTGTGTGTGTGTGTGTGTGTGTGTGTGTGTGTGTGTGTGTGTGTGTGTGTGTGTGGTGTGTGTGTGTGTGTGTGTGTGTGTGTGTGTGTGTGTGTGTGTGTGTGTGTGTGTGTGTGTGTGTGTGTGTGTGTGTGTGTGTGTGTGTGTGTGTGTGTGTGTGTGCCTGCCTCTCAGCAGTGGTCTAACCACCGCTCTCATGATACGGATGGTAACTGGATCACAGTTTCCCGGCCGCTGGGTGTTTGTGACAATTGTCACTATTTGGTTTGGGGGGCAGGGGGGGTCCAACACGTTCCACTCAGATATAAGGTACAGCTGAGGCAGGATTCATACAGGGTCCTCAAGTTCACTCAACAAAAAGTTAACTCAGAATGTTACACTTTTGTTGTTAACAATCCTTTAAAGTCTGAGGTGTGACTGAAAAGCCAACTGACTGAAAAGGGACTCATTTTCATTGGTAAAGGGGAAGTAGTGTGTTAAAGACTGTGGTCTAAAGTAACTAAGTACATTCACTCAAGTACTGTACTTAAGTACAATGTTGAGGTAATTTACTTGAGTAACTGCAGTGATTGCAGGACTTTTGCTTGTAATAGAGTATTCCTACACTCTACTTTTACTTAAGTACACAATCTGGGTTTTTCTTTTGTCCTGGTCAGCTGAGTCTTGACCCCCCCTGAGACGTTCAGTACAGAGCTGTGGACTCCAGTCACATGATTTGGACTCTTGTATGACACACCTGATGACTCAAGACTGGACACAATAAGAGACATCTTGCAGCTGGACTTTGACTTTAACACAATGACTTCCCTCTGACTTAAGCCTTTTAAGAGTGATGCAGGGCTTTTACTGTAACAGAGTATTCCTACACTGGTACTTCTACTTTTACTCAAGTTCCGAGTCCCCCTTCCACCTCTGTTAAGTCGAGTGTTGACTCCTTAATTCTGTACGCTTCGTTCCATCCCTCAGGAGCATCAGCTGGCAGAGAGGATCCGGCTGTAGAGGAGTATTCACCTAATGCAGTGATTCCCAACCTGGGGGGGCGCGCCAAAGATCGCAGGGGGTACCAGGCCTCAGATGATTTGAGGCCAAATATCGTATTTAGACTTTTTTTTTTTTACATATAATTGTAACGCAATACATGATTGTCGCTAAAAGCCTTGTCTCTACATTACAATAAAATATTTTAAAAAATTGATTAATTTGAATAAAAATTCAAGTTAGTAGCTAATAAAGGCATAAAAAGAAAGAAATGTATAATTTTTTCTTTGATAGAAATGTTTCTTCTGCCCGTAAAGTGTCCAAACCAGGCTTGTCGGGATAAGCGCATTTTTAAAACATAGTCATTGTCCATGCCGGTTTCAGTTGGATTATTTGTCACAGTTTCTCTGATCAGATCGGTCTCCTCCATTTTGTAGATTATTTACGACTTTTGAATCCACATAAACACATCGGCAAAATCCGGCTTACTTTGAGCATGTGTTTTAAACAGTTTAATCCCTTTGTGAATTGTTTCGACTTGCGCCGTCCTTTAAGTTCTTCATACAGCGGTAATCCAAATGAATTAATCCTGAGTTCAATGACCATCAAAGTCACTCCAATAGTGCTCCTTAATTACGCTTTTATCCTCCTTTACAACATACTTCACATTCATCCAGTTTGTGACAGTAGTTGTAGCATTTTTGAGACTTTTAAACTTGAATTACCGCTGTTGCGCCCACCCCCTTGTGTGAAAAAAGGTTGGGAACCCCTGACCTAATGGATACACACATTTATCTGACAATAGGGATTCTCCGATCGATCAGATCAATAGTACTTTGTATATGCTGCAGAGTTTACTCGAACAGAAACGGGCACTATCTGCTTATGCAGCCGACTATGACCTGCCTTCAACGCTCGCCGGCCATCAAGGCAAGGCAAGGCAAGTTTATTTATATAGCACTTTTCAACACAAGGCAATTCAAAGTGCTTTACAAAAAATGAAAGAGATTAAGAAAATGGCATTTAAAATCAGTCATTAAAAAGAAAAGCTAATAAAATAAACATTAAAAGAAAAAATACATGGATAAAAGTTACAGTGCAGTCAATTAAACATTAAAAGAAAAAAGTACATGGATCAAAGTTACAGTGCAGTCTAAGATATGAATAGTTCAATTAAAAGCAGCGACAAAAAGAAAAGTCTTC